CCCTGGGTGGGGGAACCGCATGTGGACACCCCCACTGGGGCCTTCGGTGGAGCTCCCTATGGGGCCACGAAACGCTGCCCTGGGTGGGGGAACCGCATGTGGACACCCCCACTGGGGCCTTCGGTGGAGCTCCCTATGGGGCCACGAAACGCTGCCCTGGGTGGGGGAACCGCATGCGAACACCCCCACTGGGGCCTTCGGTGGAGCTCCCTATGGGGCCACGAAACGCTGCCCTGGGTGGGGGAACCGCATGCGAACACCCCCACTGGGGCCTTCGGTGGAGCTCCCTATGGGGCCACGAAACGCTGCCCACTGGGGAACACCCCCACTGGGGCCTTCGGTGGAGCTCCCTATTGCCCGGTAGCTACGAAACGCTGCCCTGGGTGGGTGAACCCACTGGGGCCTTCGGTGGAGCTCCCTATGGGGCACGAAACGCTGCCCTGGGTGGGGGAACCGCATGCGAACACCCCCACTGGGGCCTTCGGTGGAGCTCCCTATGGGGCCACGAAACGCTGCCCTGGGTGGGGGAACCGCATGCGAACACCCCCACTGGGGCCTTCGGTGGAGCTCCCTATGGGGCTACGAAACGCTGCCCTGGGTGGGGGAACCGCATGCGAACACCCCCACTGGGGCCTTCGGTGGAGCTCCCTATGGGGCCACGAAACGCTGCCCTGGGTGGGGGAACCGCATGCGAACACCCCCACTGGGGCCTTCGGTGGAGCTCCCTATGGGGCCACGAAACGCTGCCCTGGGTGGGGGAACCGCATGCGACACCCCCACTGGGGCCTTCGGTGGAGCTCCCTATGGGGCCACGAAACGCTGCCCTGGGTGGGGGAACCGCTGGGGCCTTCGGTGGAGCTCCCTATGGGGCTACGAAACGCGTGAGAGGTGTGCCGAGAGCAGAGGCAAGGAGGGGGAGGAGGGAGGAGGGGGAAGAGGAGGAGAGGAGAGGACGCGGGCACCGTCTCTTCAAAACGAGGACCCAACACCACAGGATGGTTGGGAAAAAAAAGTAAAGTGGACATTCGCGCGCGCAAGACGAAATCCTTCCAAAACCTCAGTTTTCGTAACGATTTTAACATAAAAACGTCAAAAAACAATTTTTTATATTTAAAAAAATGTCAAAATTTCATCCCGCGCGCTCTTGCGGATTCGTAGGAAACCCAACACTTTTTAAACATTTCTGTCAAACGGGCTTTTGCGAGCAACTTTTTCGAACTTCTGCGACAACGGTTGCGCACCTGCCAGGGCCATCATCCCTGTCAAATAATACCATGCGGGACACATTCGTTTTTTCTTCGCGCGCGCACGCCGTCGTCGTCGGCCGCGGGGCCCTGAATAGTAGCCACGGTCGTCCGCATGCCACGAAGTGAAGTGTCCGAACGTCATAGGGCGGGAAGCTGGGTGTGGGTGGTGGCGAAGAGTCGTTTGGAAATTTGGTAGAGCTTGAACCGGCCCCCCCACAAAGTGGGGGTATTGCCCGCCTCCTATGAAAACCCTGGCACTGGTGAGAACGGAGTGTCCCCACGTGCTAGTAATTGTTGTTGTTGTTGTTGTTGTTGAACATTATTACTTCTAAAGAATAATTATTGTTGGGGCCCCTGGTGCACGCCCCCCCCGCCGCGCCTAGGCCGCAGCCACATTTTCATCATTTTCGTGAGGAAGTCTCAAGCAAAACGATGTGATCCAGATCCGGTTGTTTTGTTCCCCCCGCTTTCCCTTGCAAAAAACAATAGAAAATGACATTTCTTGTTCTAACATAACCAAACCTTAAGAATTCCTTGCAAAAAAAAAGTAAAGTGGACATTCGCGCGCGCAAGACGAAATCCTTCCAAAACCTTAGTTTTCGTAGCGATTTTAACATAAAAACATAAAAAAAACAGTATTCTTTTAAAAAATGTCAAAATTTCATCCCGCGCGCTCTTGCGGATTCGTAGGAAACCCAACACTTTTTAAACATTTCTGTCAAACGGGCTTTTGCGAGCAACTTTTTCGAACTTCTGCAACAACGGTTGCGCACCTGCCAGGGCCATCATCCCTGTCAAATAATACCATGCGGGACACATTCGTTTTTTCTTCGCGCGCGCACGCCGTCGTCGTCGGCCGCGGGGCCCTGAATAGTAGCCACGGTCGTCCGCATGCCACGAAGTGAAGTGTCCGAACGTCATAGGGCGGGAAGCTGGGTGTGGGTGGTGGCGAAGAGTCGTTTGGAAATTTGGTAGAGCTTGAACCGGCCCCCCCACAAAGTGGGGGTATTGCCCGCCTCCTATGAAAACCCTGGCACTGGTGAGAACGGGGTGTCCCCACGTGCTAGTAATTGTTGTTGCTGTTGTTGTTGTTGTTGTTGTTGTTGTTGTTGTTGTTGTTTATTGTTTGTTGCTTGTTGTTTGTTGTTTGTTGATTGTTGATTGTTGATTGTTGTTTGTTGTTGTTGCTGCTGTTATTGTTGCTGCTGCTTCTGTTGTTTTTGTTTTGTTGTTGTTGCGGTCGCCTTCGCTCGCTGCCCTTCGTGGCCCCGTTGCTGCCCTCAGTGGCTCCGTCGCTGCCCTGGTGGCCCCGCATTATATGCCCTTCGTGGCCTCCACTCGCACGCGCCCGTCGTGGCCCCATATGCCTGCCCTTCGTGGCCCCGATGTCGCCCATTGTGACCCCCTCGCTGCCCTTCGTGGCCCCAATGCTGCCCTCAGCGGCCCCGTCGCTTCCCTCTGTGGCCTCGGATTTTATGCCCTTCGTGGCCCACGCTGGCTTTTCTCACGATTTACTTAGGAATCGCGCTATCGCTTGAGATTTCCTCGCGATTCATGCAGGACCCACGCTTCAACAACCCGCCTGCTCGACCTCGTCGCCTGGGCCCGCCTTCCCGACTTGCCCGCTATGGGTCTGCCCACCCGATCTGCCCGTCTGGTTCTACAATTTGTTTTCTGCTCCTTGCCCCCCCTCCTGCTGATTTCTCTCGTGCTCCATTATTCTCCTTTCCCCTTCCACCCGTCCTCTCTTCCCTTGTTTTAGGGGCTGCACTGAATACACGTGGCAGATCAGGAAGATAGACCCTCAAGGGGGTACGATCGAAGACGACGAGAGCGGGTACCGAGGGTTTGGGATATACGAATTGATTAGCACGTGAGCAGATAGGAGCGAACAGTCTACACATGATTGCTGTTGCTGTTGTTGTGGTGGTTGTGGTTGTGGTTGTGGTTGTTGTTGAAGAAGAAGAATACTCATTTCCTAGAGAATAATTCTTGCTGATCTCTGGAAACGGTTCCGCGCGCTCTCGCCTCGACGCCGGCTATATTCTCTGAAAATGACGCTCCCGCGCGAGCGTTGGCTTCAGTGTAAAAGTGTGCCCTCGGAGGCCCGTCTACGACGACAGCGGTTTCCGCTCGATACTTCCTCACAATTTACCCCGAGACACCCTGGCCAGAGAGGCCCCCGAACTCAGGAACGGCGCTCTCGCTCGAGATTTCCTTGCAATTCAATCAAGTTGGAGGAGGCCCAGCCACGACGACGACGACGACGAGCCCTGACATCCGCCGATCTGGCTTTTTCAATCCGCGCCCCTTCCCTCGAGGTAGTTTTTCGCGCCGGATCCTTTTTTGATGATCCCAGGGTCAGAGAACGGCCCCTCTGGGATTGGCGCGGGGGTTGCTAAGGGTATAAGGGGGCTGTCAATGGATACCAAGATGGGACATACTTGACCCAACCTAGCTTATACACGGTTTTTCACATGCCGCAAGTGGCGTAAGGGGTTCGACATCTCCGCCAAGTGGGCTCCGCCCGCTTAGCCTGGATTGCTAACCCCCCTAAGCCACTTGGGTCGTCTCTAACCCATGCAGGAGAGCTCAGAACTGATTCGATGAGTCGGATCGGCGATCGACATGGATCGGACTGGCGGAAATCGGCAGTCGAGTCGGGAAAAGTCGAATCAGCGGAAGTCGGCAGGCTAGCTGGCCTCCACTGAGAAATCGGAGCATACATCGGAATCCGAAGTCGGATCGAATCGGAATCGGAATTCGTCGAAATCGAATCAAATCGGATCGAATTGGAGGGGTCGAAATGAGCCCTGCCCATGTGAAATGATAACCCACCTCGGCATCCTCCTCCTCCTTCTCCTCCCCTTCCCCGATCCTCCTGACTGCTCCTCCTCCTGCCTGCTCCCCCTCCTCCTCCTCCTCCTCCACCTCCTCTCCTCCTCATCCTCCTCCTCCTTCTCCTCCTCCCCCTCCTCCTTCCCCCCCCTCCTCCTTCCCCTCCTCCTTCCCCCCCCTCCTCCTTCCCCTCCTCCTTCCCCCTCCTCCTCCTCCTCCTCCTCCTCCTCCTCTTCCTCCTCCTCCTCCTTCTCCCTCCCCTCCCTATTCCCTCAGCAGCCTCCACGCCGATCCCAGCATCTCCTGTCCCAGATGGTTCCCCCGGGCCGCAGCTCTGGCCTCGGGCGGCCGCTCGGGACGATAGGGGGCACCCCCGGGAGCGCCCCAGGCGGGACGCAGCTGCTCGAAAGCATCCCGACCCTGACCTTCCAGAGAGCTATTTTTTAGCACGGGAGGCATAAAAACCCAAACAACGAAACGAAACAGCCTAAAACCAATACATATAATAGCTCTGGGATAGGTTTTTAAGTCGCGTGCTATTTTTTAGCCCTCCTGGAAGGTCAGGGGAGGTGCGAAAACCTCCCGGAGCCAACGACAACGTCCGAAGAGCTACGAAAGCGCCCGGACTGAAGCCTACGAAACCTGCGCGTCGTTCGCTTCTAATCGTGCTCATCTCTGATTGCGCTCGTTTGTAATTCTTCCTGGCCCCCTAGTGGCCAGGAAGAGGCCCATGACAGAATAATTAGACATGAAAGGAGCCTGGCCCCCCCCCAACAAAATCCAAGACCTCTCGAAGAATGAGAAATGAATCAGAACATCCAAAAAATCCAATGTGTACGAGAACTTCCGAAAAACCTACGACAACCTGCGACAGCGTCCGAAAGCCCCCGACCGCGCAGGGCGGCCGCCGCGGGCCTGGAGGCGTGCGCAGCCGAAGGGGTGCGCCTCGCGCCCGTGGCCGCGCGCGCCGTGCGCGTGCTCCACCTGGCCGAGAGGACGATGATGACGATGACGATGACGATGACGATGACGATGATGACGATGATGATGATGATGATGATGATGATGATGATGATGATGATGATGACGATGATGATGATGATGATGATGATGATGATGATGATGATGATGATGATGATGATGATGATGATGATGATGATTATGATGATGATGGTGATGAGGAGGAGGAGGAAGAGGAGGAGGAGGAGGGCTCTACCTGCCCGAGAGGATCATCGCTGCCGCCGCCGTCGTAGTCGTCGTCGTCGTTGTCGTCGCCGCCGCCGCCGCCGTCGTCGTCGTCGCCGTCGCCGCCGTCGTCGTCGTCGCCGTCGCCGCCGTCGTCGTCGTTGTCGTCGTCGCCGTACGCGCCAATGTCGGCGCAGACGGCCCTCTGCTCAGCCGCCCCCATGCACAGCGCGCAGAACGTGGCGTGTTGACGCGGAGCTCAACACGCAGACTGAAAACGTACGTTTGGCGCGATGCGTACGCTAGAACGCGGGCCAACACGTTAAGCCAATACGCAACGCAATCATTAACACACGCACGTTCTGAACTCGGTACGTGTTGAGTTTCAAGGCAGGCGTATCAGGGCAGCTAAGGTACTCTGCGTTCGGTAATCATCGTGGGGGGGTCTTCCTCCGACGTGGTGAACGTCAACCAGTGCGCATCCGTGGGGGGCGGGGGTCTGGCTTTGGCGGCGGGTGGCGTGGGGCGGCTGGGGCCGACGTCGCGCGGCAACGCTTGCCTGCGAAGGGAGCCATTTTTTTGGTTGTAGTTTTTTTTGTTGTTGTTGTTGTTGTTGTTTTTTTTGTTTCTCTCTCTCTCTGTCTCTTTCTTCTCCTTCTTCCCTCCAGCGGTATTGGGGTGCGAACTTCTTCGTAGCCTCGGCCCGGCGCCCCTGAGGCAGTACCTCAAACGGGTTCAAGCGCAGTGCGCGGACCGAATGCCTGAAGGGCTCGGGTCATGCGAGTGGGGGCCGATCTGGGGCTGCCGGCGGAGGCGGCGCCCCCCCCTCCTCCTGCTCCTCCTGCTCCTCCTGCTCCTCCTGCTCCTCCTGCTCCTCCTGCCCCTCCTGCTGCTCCTCCTCCTCCTCCTCCTCCTCCTCCTCCTCCTCCTACCAGCGCAGAAACACGCCAATGCGTTCCCTGGCAGGTAGACTGCCCGCCCGGGCGGCCCGAAGGGCACGCCAGGGCGCTTCCCTGGGCACCCGAGGCCACCTGCAGGGGCGCTTCCCTGGGACGCCCGAAGCTGCCTGCCAGGGCGCTTCCGTGTGCAGCCCGAAGGCGCCTGCCAGGGTGGATCCCCGAGCAGCCCGAGTGTACCCCTGCCAGGGCGCCTTCCGGCTGGCAGCGGCCCCTCGAAGGGCAGCGACCTCCGACCCGTCTCGAGGCTAGACGACCCGTAGTCTTTGTTGTTGTTGTTGCTGCTGTTGTTGTTGTCGTTGTTGTTGTGGTTCGTTGGTTGGTTGGTTGTTTGTTTGGTTGATTGTTGTTGTGCTGTTGTTGCTGCTACTGCGTTGTTTTGGTAACTGTTGTTGTTGTTGCTGCTGTTGCTGCTGTTGCTGCTGCTGCTGTTGTTGTTGTTGTTGTTGTTGTTGTTGTTGTTGTTGTTGTTGTTGTTGTTGTTGTTGTTGTTATTGTCGTTGTCGTTGTTGTTGTTGTTGCTGCTGCTGTTGTTGTTGTTGTTGTTAATAGTATTTTTGTTGCTAATGCTATTAATGCTGTTGTCGTTGCTGCTATTGCTGTTGCTGTTGCTGTTGCTGTTGCTGCTGTTGCTGTTGCAGTTGTTGTTGTGGTTGTTATGGTTGTTGTGTTTGTTGTTGTTGGTGTTTGTTGGTGTTGTCTGTTTCGTTTTCTTGTGTGTGTGTTCATTATAATGCGGGCGTATTTCCTCGGCTTATCTGGGGCGGAAAACTGGGCCCGGGGAAGTGGTCGGGACTTCTGGGGCCGCAGATGGAACAAACCACATCGGCGACTGGGGATCGAGGGTCGAGGAGACCCTTCCCGATGATCGAGGATCGACTCTCGAGGGGTCGAGGATCGAGGGCCCAGGAGTCGAGGGTTCGATGGCTTGAGGGTCGAGGATCGAGGATCGAAGGCTCGAGGATCGAGGTGTCGAGGGGTCAATGGCTTTGAGGAGCGAGGATCGAGAGTCGAGGGGTCGAGGGTCGAGGCTCGATGGGTTGAAGGTCTAGGGTCGAGGGGTCGAGGATCGAGGGTCGAGATTCAAGACCCCCGAAGCTCGAGGAGGCCGTCCGCTTAACTGGCGTCCCGGACGGCTCGCTCAATGCGCCGCTGCTGGAGCTGCTGGAGTCGGAGTTGGACGGGGTGCGTCGTAGACATCATTAGTTGACCATGCCGATGCCGATGCGCTGACTCAAGCTAGGCTGCCCACAAGACTGTCGACCCGTGGGGTCGCCATGATTGCTGACTGTCAGGAAACCGTCTGTATGACAGCCGATGCGGCCGAGGGACGAAGAGAAGCGTGATGAGGCTTCAGCAGGGGGGCGAAAGAGGTGGCTGTCTATACTGCTCTCGTCAGGGCTCGAACTAAACAGTGTTTTTCGTTTTCGGTTTGTTTTCTTTATTCCTTTGTTATGTATTCGTTCTGCCTTTGCTGCGAAACGAAATCAAAACAAAAACGGTCCACAGCATTGCCAACCCACCGTTTAGCTCGAGTCCTGGCTCTTTTACGTGTCGTCAGCAATGCGAGCGACGCCTTGGAAACGGTCGAGATCACAGGCGGAGCCCCTGGAGCTGGAGTCGTGTCGCGGTGCGGCCCCTCAAGGGTATCGGGATGTCGTGGCAGAACCAGAACGTGGTGCGCGCTCCGCCCACGGACGGTCCGGTCGGTTCGGTGCAGCCATCGCGCTACCTTGAGGGGCGCTATATGCGGAGCGAGGAGGAGGAGGAGGAGGAGGAGGAGGAGGAGGAGGAGGAGGAGGAGGAGAGGAGGAGAAGGAGGAGGAGGAGGAGGAGGAGGAGGAGAGGGAGGAAGAGCTTTCCTGGTCACGCCGAGCCTCGGCCGCGGACAGGCTCTCTCGAACCCTGACCTGAGGAGCGGCCCAGTAAGCAGAGCCCCTCCGGAACCCACGGTGGTCCTCATCATAGCGCCTTGGCAATACGGTGGAGGTTTTAACTCTTCGAGGGCCCCGAGAGGCCCGTGCGTGCATACGAACTCCTCCCGCGGGCCGCGGGCCACGCCCCCGCCGCCCTCGCGGGCCGCCGCCGCCCGCGAGCCTCGCGCCTCCAGGCCCCTGGCCCGCGCCTGCGCCAGGTCGCTGGCGCCTCCGAACGGTATGCGCGGGCCGCGCCCGGCGGGGTCGCGCGGCGGCAAATCACTTCCTTCAGCGAGCGGAGGCCACTCACGCTCGCTGGAACCAGCGCTAGGGCACCTCCGCCAGATGGGCCAGTTCCGAGGCCGCAATTTGATGGCGGAGCCAGGCCTGTCGCCTCGGCTCCATAGCGCACACTAGCACATGGGGCTGCCACGGAGCGTGCGCCACGCCGCCAGGAAGGCCCAACGCGTCGAGCAACACCTCCGCCTCGGCCTCGTGCCCCATGTTGTCGCGAAGGTCCGTCTCACCTGCCTCCTCGAACATGCTCTCGATCGCCGCCACCCCTTCCGAAGCGAGCGACGCAATCGCCTCGACTTCATGCGGAGTGATTCGACCCCCTCCCGAGCAACACGATCGAGATCCGCCAGGTAGGCCTCGACCTCCTCCGAAACCCCGAGCTCCCTGGCGATCGCGGCAGCTCCCGAGTCGGAGGGGCAGGAGAGGTCCTCGGAGTACACAGCACACTCCGAGCCATCCTCCCCCCCTCTGCTGGCACCAATGTCGGCGTGCGCCGTGCCAAGCACGAGGGCGGCGCCCGCCGCTCCGTCGTGCACGTGCTCCGCGTCCGAGAGCTCGGACTCCTCCTCAAACGCATCCTCCTCGCGCACCTCCTCGGCCTCCGCCTCGCCGTTCCCCCTTAAGACAGCAGCGGGGTGCGCCTCCAGGTAGACCAAGGTCGCCTCGCTGCGGGCCAGCGCAGGCGGTGAGGCAGAGCATGCAGTGGTTTCCGCCGAGCCTGCGCCTGGCCCTGCCCCGCACACGACCAGCACGTGAGCCCCAACGGAAACCTCATCCAGCTCGGAGTCGGACGCGTCTATAAAGTCGCATTCCTTTGAACAAATTGCAAAGCTTTCACGGATTCCAATCATCAGCGTACCAGAAATTGTGTTTGAGAGGATTCAAGATTACGCGGGCGCAAAAGTTACGTTGATTCGCTGTGCTGAAGTCCCAGGAATGGCGTTCTGTCACGATTCTGGATCGTCAACACGCAACAGTCAGGTTGATCCGTGGCTTTGGAATCCCGAGAACACTGTTTCCGCATGCTGCAGGGTCTTCAAACGGTTGTCTTCCAACGAGGCAATTCCCTCAATGGATTTGAACCGTTGTAGGGGCCTAGGAAGAGGGAACTCGGAGGGAGGATTTATTCCAGCATCGTTGATGCCTCTTGGGTTTACACTGGTCCTCCTCCTCCTCCTCCTCCTCTTCCTCCTCCTCGTAGGTCTGCGCAGCCGGGCGGGGCCATTGTGCGGGCACTTGACTGCTCGTGGGGCTGGAGCGGCTGGTCACCCGAACGGGCTCGAGAGCTGAGGTTGAACTGCTCTGGTATCAGCCCAGGACTTTTCTAGAAGAGGAACAAACGGCATAAAGATAAACGTTTGCCGCTCCGCGCGGATTTCTTGGATCTGCGCTGAAGCCCCGGAGGCGCCGCCAGGGGGGCCCGCGCGCCTCCCAGAAATCCGCGCGAAACGCAAACAGTCTATGTTTCTGGCGTTTTTTCTTCTTCGACTTTCTCGTTCGGTGTGATGGCAAGTTGCCGGCGTGCCCTTGCTTGCAGTGCGGTGGTCAGCTTCTGGTGCAACTCTGCGGCGTCGGAGCAGAGCGCTGCTGAGCCCTTGCTGGTGACAACGATTCGTCGCCTGTCGATTGTCTGTCTGTTCGTCGGATGGATCGACGTCGCAGCGGCTGTTTTTGTATGTGTTCCGCCTGTCTGCGTCCCCGTCAAAGCCTTAGGTCGGGCATGTCCTCCTACGGGGGATTACGGGCGAAAAATCAAAAATACCCGAACTTCACCCCCAAAAAGTAAAACATGATCGTCCCCTGATTATTTTTTGACTATTTTTAATGTTCCCCCTGTAGAGAGACATGCCCGACTCAATTGTAGCGGCTGTTTTTGTATGTGTTCCGCCTGTCAACGTCTCTGCCAAAGTATCTGCCTTCGTCAGTGTCCGTGCTCGTCTGTCTCGGTCTGCTTGCCTGCTCTCTCTCTCTCTCTTTTTCTCTGCCTTTTCCTCTCTCCTTCTCCCACACGCCCTCTCTGCATCTGCTGCCATCTTCCACCGCACCCTTTTCCCTTTGCCTTCCTCCCTCCATGTCTTTCTCTCTCCCTCTGAATATTTTGCTTCTTCTCTCTGTCTCTGTCTCTGTCTCTCTCTCTCTCTCTCTCTCTATATATATATATATATATATATATCTGCTCACCCTGTCAGCCTCTCGGTCTCGCTCTCTCTCCCTGCCTGGCCTCTCGTGCTCCCTACAGAGGGGCGGACACATGGTAACGGTGCTTCCGGTCGAAGCTCTCCTTGGTGACCTCCACGTCGCGCCGGAGCTCTCTCTCCCACCACCTCGGCAAGTTTCGTCTGCAGTCATCTTAAACGGGCGAAGAACGGTATAAACTAAACTTTTTCGCTGTCGGGGGCGCCTGTCCCTGGGAGGCTGGAAAGTTTATACTCTTACGGTGGCACCGTAGGGGTATAAACTTTCCAGCCGCCCAAGGACAGGCGCCCCCGACAGCGAAAAACTTTATTTTATACCGGTCTTCGCTCGCTGATCATCGTGCTGCCAGCAGGAGCGGTGGAGACGGGACGAGGAGGGCTTCTCTGGCCAAGGTGGGCCTCTCGTGGGCCTCTCGGCCACGAGCAGGTCCCCCGGCCTGAAGAGCCAAGGAGCGGCCGGGGAGCCAGAGCCCCCGCCCCCCCCCCCTTTGAGCCGGAAGTCGTCCGCATTTCAGCGTCTTCGCTGTATGCGTCAACGGATCTGGGTCGGCCCAGGGGTTGCTAAAGGGATGGATGGGGGGGTTATCCGCGGGCTACGAATGCCCCGGGTGGCTCAGGGGGGCTCGATGAATCCGCCAAGTGGGCGGAGCCCACTTGATCAGCCTGGATCGTTGACCCCCCTCAGCCACCTGGGCATTCGTGGCCCATTTTGATTCAGCTGGGTGAGTCCCCGTCTAATCAACATTGGAACCACTGATACCTCTCCTATCCCCTCAACAAGCCCCGCGTCGATCCCAGAAGAGCCCGAGTAGAATCAGGTCCGTCATGTCCCCCTGCAAGCGGATTTTGGACGACACATAAAACATATCCAAACAATATCCAGAAACAGTCAAATATCATCAAACATCGTCCCCGAACTATTTTTCAAACCTATTTCTGAATTTTCCTCCTGTAGAGGGACAGGCCCGACTTAAGAGCACTGTAGAAGGAAGGTGGGGGGTCACGAGAAAGGGGATGAGGAACACGATGAGGAGGTATACGTCGTTCATTTCTAATCGTGCTCATTTCTAATTCTGCTCGTTTCTAAGTGTTCCCGGCCCTCCAGTGGCCAGGAAGAGGCCCAGGATGGAACACTTAGGAATGAAAGGATTTTGGGCCCCCTCAAAAAAAAATCAAAGACCTTTCGAATGAATAAAAATGGCCAACGCGCAGGAGAGGAGGCGATGCGCGGGGAGCGCCGCGGTGGTCTGCAAGTCGTGCGCGAGCGCCGCTGTGTGCGGGCGGTGCTCGTGCTCCTCCTCCTCCTCCTTCTTTTCCTCCTCCACCGCCTCCTCCCTGCTCCTCCCGTCCTCCTTCCTGCCCCTGCCACGCCCCCCTCTGCTCCCCCTGCCTCTTCCCCCTCCCGCTTCCCCCCAATCCTCGTTCCCCCCCCTCCCCTCCTTCTCCTCCGTTTCCTTCCTCGCCTCCCCCCCCCCCCGCTCTGCTGGAGACCCGGCCCCAGCCCGAGGGCCAGAGGTTTTCGCGGAGGCTCGTGGCCCGTCAGGGCGGCGCGGCGTGGAAGAGGACCTCCCCCCCAAGGAACTTCCAGCAGCCTCCGAGAGCCCGCGGAGGAGCACCCGGGGCCCCTCCTCCGCGGACCCCTGCGCGCCGCACCGAGGAACCACCAGGGCGCAGACGCCGGGCCCTCCGATGGCCTGGGTGCCGGCGCGCGGGTGTCTCCTCGGAAGATCGCGACGATCGCGGCGACGACGACGACGGCGAACATGAATCGCGACGGTGACGACGACGCCGACGACGACCGCCATGACGACGACGAAGGCGACCGCGACGACGGCGACCGCGGCGACGACGAATATGACCGCGGCGACGACGACGAAGAAAATCACGACGGTGACGACGCAACGAAAACGACCGCGACCGCGACGACGACGACGAATGCGACCGCGACGACGACGACAACCGCGACGACGACGAAGACGACGACGGCGACGCCGAAGAAAATCGCGACGACGACGATGCCGAAGAAGATCGCGACGGTGACGACGACGCCGACGACCTCGAAGACGACGACGAATGCTCCGACGACGACGACGAAGAGGACCGCGACGACGACGACGCCGAACACAATCGCGACGGTTGCGACGACGACATCGACGACGACGAAAACGACCGCGACGACGCCGACAACAACGACGACGAGTGCGTGACGACGACGAGAGCGTCCTCGACGACAACGACGACGAAGACAACGACGACGCCGAATAAGATCAAATGCGGAAATGGTGAAATTTGACCGAATGCGACATGGTTAAAAAGCACAGCCAGAGCCCTGGACCCCATCTTTCGGCGACAATCTTCGAACCGAACCGATCTGTGAGGACTCCAGGGCCCGAAGCCGGGCGAAAACGCCGAGCTCGAAACAGTTGAGACGCCACGGTCTCCAGATGTTTTGTTAGGTCGGGCCTGTCCCCCCTACAGGGGGATCTCGACCGAAAAATGAAACATACCCCCCCAGCATACTCCCAAAATGCTCCCAAAATGCTCAAACATAGTAAAACATTGTTCCCATATTTCTTTTTAGATATTTTTATTTCTATATATTAAATATTGTTTTATTCATCTATTTATCTATTTATATATATGTATAAACCAAACAATTTTATGTTGAGTATTCGCCCTGTAGAGGGACAGGCCCGACTGAAGATTTTCGGGTCCTAGCTCGGGCCTCAGGCGGCCGCTTGCGGGCTGACCTGGGCACGCCCAGGGCGCTCTCGGCGAGACGCAGCTGCTGGACGGCATCCCGAGGCTGGAAAACCGCCGAGACGCGACGAGAACGCCCGCGATCGTCGTCGTCGTCGTCGTCGTCGTCGTCGTCGTCGTCGTCGTCGTCGTCGTCCTCGTCGTCGTCGTCGTCGTCGTCAGCGTCGTCGTCGTCGTCGTCAGCGTCGTCGTCGTCGTCGTCGTCGTCGTCAGCGTCGTCGTCGTCGTCAGCGTCGTCGTCTGCTTCTGCCTGTTCGGGACTCTGGCCTGCGCTGCCGCCTTGGGGGGGAGCGATCGACCTGCGAGGTGCTCCTCTGGGCGCCGGGCTGCAGCGCGCTGGGCAGCGCGAGCCCCGCCCTGCGCAGGAAGGGCCGCAGCTGTAGCCGCCCCAGGAAGCGCAGGCGCCTCCAGGCCCCGTCGACCGCCGCCGCCGCCCCCGGACGACAGCGACGTGACTCGTACAGTCCAGGCGGTTTCAGAAGCGTATGAAGGGGCCCTGGGACACACAAATAAATACACACAACTAAAAGGATCCCCCATCTTTTCTGGGGTTCTGTCTTCCCCCCCACTTCCCATATTTTCCCATATTCTACTGGGAATCGACGATGAATTGTGTCTGCGTGTTTCTGCCCCTCCTGAGCTTCGAAGGCTCGCGGACGTTCGCGGAGGCCCCTGGGGTCTCGGGTGACGTCCGTCCGCCGCGCCTAGTCGCGCGCGTCCCGGGGGGGGTGCACGGACCCTCCCGAGCGGCCGCCGTCCGGCGCCACCCGCTGGGGCTACCCTGGGAACTCAGAAGCGGTGGGAGGCGCAGGCCCTTTCCGCCCAGTGTGGACTGCATACCGCCTCCAACATTGCAAGCGCTGCCTCCACAACGGTCCAGAGACGCCTGCGAGAGGGCCGACAGGATCGCAAGAGGTGCCACTATGGCCACAATACGTCTCCATGGCCGCCCAAAGTGGCCCCCCGACGGCCCCAGGTGACCCCGTCACGTCCAAAAGGGCCCCCGATGAGGCCCTGGAGGCCGGAATCCCTGACGAGATGATCTGTTTCAGTCCTCGCGTTTTGTTTTCTTCGGCTCTGGCCCTCGGGGGCCGTATGTCGGGCCCGGGTGCCACTGGAGATGGTTCTGGGACGCCGCACTGCGGGACATCTCACACATGTGGTGTGTGTGTGTGTGTGTGCGTATTTCGCAAGCAACCCGACACAATAGTGCACCATCGCGCATGGAAGTGCCCCAATAATGTTCCCGACAGGGAGAGCACTGACCCGGAGAAGCTGGCCATGCCCGAACACGTTGGGGAGGAAAATCCGTTATTCAGAAACTTTTGGACGGCGACGCCTCCCTCTGCTGAGCGGCCCGCACCAGCCTCTGTTAGGTACGTAGGCCCGTCTGTCTCCTTCCCCCGCTTCGAGGAGGAGGCGCCGCCGCTGCTCGCGCCCCCTGGCCTCGCCTCGTCTCCCCTCGCAGAGCGGTGGGCAATTCGCTCGTTGTGCTGCAAAGGACAACGCCCGCGGGGATGGAGGCCGACTGGGGTCCAAAGCGAACTCCTGGGTCACCATCTTTGCTGCGCCCGTCCGCACCCCTCACGCCTGCAGTAGTACATCGGACGCCTCCAGTCAGGAGTCTCGTAGAATTCATTACAGCAGAGAAGACCCAGCAAATTGTTCGCGAAGAAAGGCTGTGTCCTGGTGCTGGGCAGGAGCAAACGACTTGTTTCCTACTCAAGTTAGTCTCTGCTCTCTCTATATATGTGTGTGTGCGTGCGTCTGTATACAAAGGAATGTTCTTGGAGGTATCTGGAACGCCAGAAGACGAAACCGGTATTTGAAGACCCAGGCTGTTAAAGAACACTGTATGGTTAAATTGCGATGGCGGTGGAGGCAATTGATTGTTGGGTGTTGATTCGGCGGACACGGAAACAATCGACTATTGAACCTTGTGTCGGTGACGGCAACTGTCAAGTAGGATTGTGGTTAAACGTTATACGTGGGGTGGAAACTGTTGAATATTTGTTTGCTGTGTTGGAAACAAACGTTGAGTACTGGGTGTGGAGTTGGGCACGGTAGCTCTTGAACCGGATGGTGTTCATAAATTACACTTGTGGTGGAGGCCAATGGGTATTGAACGTTGTGTCGGAGACGGAGGCCGCCGAGTATTGGGCGCTGCATTGGACACGGGGGCTTCTTTGTACTGGGTGTTGCGTTCAAGGCGGAGGCTATTGTGCATGAGTGTATTTTGGAATTGCAAATGGAATGGAGACATTTGGATATTTGGTGTTGTTGGAGGCGGGGGCGGAGGCTATTGGGTTTGAGTGTTGGGTATTGTGTTGGTGACGGAGGCTATTGGGTACGACTGTGTCGTG